CCTTGAGTAACAAGGATATGCACGTGGAAACGTTTATGAGAGTAGTTATGAATAATTATTCAGCCACACACAGATACACTAAATTGAGTTAAAATTTACTTTAAAAAATAGCACAGTCCAATAAACGGTCCAGGTCATATAAGTTTAACAATCCAAAGAATATCCAATTACAAAGTCTTCTTACCAGTTGCCTTTGTCATTTACGGTAAACAAAGATATCAAAGTATAAGCAGAGAACCTTAGATAGCAACAGAATGTCAGAGATACAGAACGTCAGAGAGAGCAAACTATCATCTCTAGCTCCCTCTTATGGTAATTTGCAATATAATCAACCAATCGGAATATACTATAAATCAATACAGTGATTTTTGTCTTAAAGCTACAAACATACATTGTTGGTTTATATATTGGTGGGCAGATTCCTAACACACTTGTTAATTGTTTTCAGCGTTAGGAAAGTTCTCCTTAGTCTAGGTTGCTTCTCTCTTTGATTAGCTTCCATCTGTTGTCCCAAAGGTGCTTTTTCAAGACTTCAAACTTGAAGAAGTTTCTCTTCTCATCCGAGGAGCTTCTTCTCAGAGCTGAAGAAGCTTCTTGGATGAGAAGCAAAACGTCTTCAAAGAAAGAACAAGAAAGTCCAGTTGCCTGTTGAAAAAAAAAAGCACCTTTGAGACAGCCGTTCTCTGGATGACTGAGAATCTCCATAGGCACTTTTCATCCATTGCTTCTTGTCCTGGCTTCAAGAAATTTGGACAATAGCTTAACCCCTTCTTTTGTGGCGGGGCAGTTTCTCAAATATTGGAACACTGCTATCCCGTCAACCTAGTCCTTCTTTTCACTAGACTAAACATATCTATTTCCTCCAATCATTCTCCTTGGCTCACTCCGGATTAGGATCTCCAGTGAACTGAACAATGTAGAACAGGATTTCTAAACCTTGACAGCTTGAAGATGGGTGGATACCAACTCCCAGAATTCATATGGCTGGCTAGGGAATTCTGGGAGTTGACATCCCGCTATCTTCGAGCTTGCCAAGAAGCCCTGATGTAAAAACTAACCACACCTCTTAGGACCAGCCAAAAGATTACAAAGTTTGATTTGCTATTCCTTCTATAGATCTTTCAGCCAGTCCTCAGTCTTCAGGGAGGAAAGGAATCGAAAGTTCACATCATTTCTGCACAATCAATGTTTATTCCAGCCATTATCAAATCCCACATCATTTCTGCACAATCTGTGTGAGTTCCAGCAATTAGGTGCCCTGGCTAACCAAGGATATGCGTACGATTGTAACCTGTTCCAACGGAAGAGATACAATGGTGAAATAACTTGGTTCCCTATTCATCTAAGAATATCCCATAATATCTTGAAACAGGTTTGATGGAACAGGGGAACATGTATTTGTTTCCAATTAAATATTTTTCTGGAGAAGCAGCAGTCCAGAGTTATGTTTATTTTTCCCTCTTGCCTTTTCCAAAATCCATTTATTCCACTTGTCTTGTTTCTATATCCAGGATTTTGATGCTTTCCTGGTTCCAGTTTGGATGTCTTTTTTTTTTCCTTAGGTGTTCCAGTCCGTCAGGAATCACATATTGATGTCAGCAATTTCCTGAATTGATAAAGTGACCTAATCGCTATTAAAATAAGTGCGCAACGTGGAAAATCACCGTAAGAATATTGTGTCCCATTTTTAAAACAACCACATGCTGAACTCAGCCAACACAGAAACAGCTTCTTGTACCTTGAATAGCAATCACGAGAAAGCAAGGAAAAATAGTGGCCAGTCCAAGAAACGTTGGCTTTGGATTTTAACACTTTGCTTTGGTTTTTTTTTGAGTTCATTCCGGCTTAATTTGCAGCAACCACCACCAAGATGCCTGTCTCTGCTCAAGATCTGTTGCAGGCATCTTACTTTAATCAGGAGGACTAATTGATTCTGCTTAGAAACAAAATAAACAGGCGGTTTGATACTTCAAGTTTAATAAGCACTCCTTTTCACAGAACACCAGTATCGGTTTGCAAGATTCCACCAAACGTCATGTGGCGCTAGAGAAACCAGAGCTAGGCCAGTGTGTTTGACCTCTCGTTTAAAGTGGGGAAGGAAGGAAGGAAGGAAGGAAGGAAGGAAGGAAGGAAGGAAG